AAATTGTTATTGCAAAAGCCCAAGAAAAAAAGTTAAACTCTTGGTAAGTGCACTCTTGGTTCATAATTCGCCTCCATAACTCCTCCAAAAGTGTTCCCTCCCTGCCAGCTTTTCTCACCCTCCTTCCCACTGTTTTCTTGGCTCTTTTGCTACAGCCATCCGAGGAACCTTTTCTCCCTAGAAGTTGCAACAAGACCACAGCTTGCCGTGAAGCTCCTGTGCTCATTTCTGCTTCCTTCATCCTGTGCTAAAGAACACAAGGGCTGCTATTGCCAGAGCCCCCAGAATTCCAGTGCCAGCCCCATCCTAGCTGCAGAGGCGTTCATGACAGTGCAAACAGCTACCAGGAATAAGCTGATCACCCTGCAATGCTTGTCCTGTAATTCCCCTCTGACCTCTAGGCCTTCTGCCCATCTGCCTGAAAAAAACCAACAAAACAAAACAAATAAAATCAAAACAAACCCCCACGTACACCTGGACCATTGTTCAGAAAAAAATCGTCCATGCCAGGATTAAACTAGAGGACACCTCCTGCCCTGGTTAAAACCTGAAGTGTTTTACAGCCAGGAGAGATAACACATGTGCAAAGCTGAAAATAGTTGCCACACCATGTTTTTGTTTTGTTACCATGACAGCAATTACCAATATTTTGAAGAGAATGACTGCTCACTGACACAACACGAGGACAATGGGAAGGTGTGTTTTCTTCACCAGTCCAGGAAGTCTCATTGTGTGCTCAAATGCAATTATTTCCTATAATGTCTAGGCAAAGTTGTTATTCATCAGAAACAGAACCACAGCTAAGCTGGAAGAAAAAAATCTGATTCAGAAAGGACCAGTGCAGAGATACAGAAGTTTTAGGATTTTGCCTCTTCAAATATTTGCTAAAAGAGGAAGAAATTTAAGGAAAAAAAGTCTCAGTATTTCTTATTTTTAAATCCTCTGTCAGCTATAACATAGAAACACTTTGGCAAATAGGTGAGAAATGCCTGTTTTGGCTGCCTTTGCTTTTATACCTTTGTCAGTGTTAAAGTCAAAACCTCTTACTACATTCTACAGCTGGTACAGACCAATTATATTTTGAAAACAGCATCAAAATGAAGCTTCACAGCAGTTGGTAGGATTCTTCATGTCTTCCTAGCTTAGACTGATCTCCTCCTCCAGAGAAAGAGATATATGGGAAGACCTCTGAATGGGATAACCTCATCTGTCATCTCTTCCAAGAATTCCTGAGCAAGAAATGCAGCATGCTGCTGGATTTACAGGACTCTATCTTCCTTTCCTGGATCTCTCCAGCATTGGAAATGGTTATGGGACACAACACAGCTGACACACATCTCTTTGGCAGGTAACAGAGAGAATGCAAATGACAGAAAAAACACAACTGCAAGAACATCAGAGCTTCAACAAGGCTGTTACTCATCTATAAAGGCATGATAATCATCAGCAACCTGTTTTTTTCCAGGGTATGTTCAAAAGAAGCAAGAGCAGGGACACAATTAAGACTGTTTTCTTAAACACATTGCAAAAGACCTTAGGCATTAGATCTACAGCTGTGCTGACTGCTCAACCTCTGTTTCAACAAGAATTACAGTGCTGTCATAAGAGTGCTCCATTGACACCGTACCATTTCCTAGCAACAATCTATGTTTTGTACATAAAAAAGTGAATGAAATACTGCCTATCAGTGTTTTCTTTCTCATTATGCTGTTAAAACCTTTCCCCCTCTCCCACGTAAAATGAAAAGAGTCTTATTTGGACATTATGCAGAACTTCAGACTGTGCTCTGTAATGTAATGAACTGTCAAAGAAGCAAACCCAACATAAAACAAGGTATTTCAAGTTATCCAAACAGACCTTTCTGAAAATAAAGTTAGTTCATAATTCCATGGCAGATTCACCAAGTTTTAATCCTGCAATGTTGGACTGAGTGCTCCATAAGCAAATGGAGAGCTGGGCATTCTGATTCTCACAGGGCTTTTTCTGAGGGGTTTTTCTTTGCAGAAACAGCATCCTGTCTTACTGTGATTTATAGTGATTCCAGATCAGTCTGGGGAAAATCATCCAACCGCAAAGGATTGCTCCCCTGCCTTCCAAACACTCGTGGCTCTTCTCACTCTCCCACCCTCTGCCCCTTTACTTGCAGCCACCACTTAGAGGCTCTTTAAACACGTAATTCACATTTACAGTTACATACACGCGTACCCTCCTGCAACACAAACCCAACTCATCTACATAAACCGAGTTCTGCAATAGTCAAGAGAGAGTTTAAATGCACTAGGAGTAAATGCCATCCCTTGGAGATGCCCCAGCCTCCCTTGTGAGGTGGATGGGCTTCTTTTCCCCTCCCCTTATCAGCACACAGATCAGCATTTATAACGACTCATATTCCAAGGAGAATGGTAGGAGGGTAGAAAAAAACAAACCAGAAAAAGCAGCGTGTTTCCATTCACATGGAAGTAATGGTGTGCAGACTCCAAATCCCACTGTGGCCAGGTAGATAAACAACAGCAAAACAACAAATGCAAAAATGAGTGGCACAGTAAGAACCAGCCCTTCACTCTGGAATGTGGGGGTGGAGAAATCAGGTTATTTCTCCTGGTCAGCTGTTCAGGTCTCATCTGCATAAATCGCTCATTGTAGCATCTGCCAGAAAGCAAAATAACTACATGGCTTCAAAAATGTCTTTTTTCTTTTTTTAATAAAGAGCAAAGGAGGAACATTAGTAAGATTTTTTTTATTTTTCACCTAATATTTTCAGATAAATTCTGTCCCTGTACCTGTGTATCTCAGAGAGTGGAATAAAGTTGCTCCATGCTGAATCCTTGTTTACAAAGATGTTTGCTATGTGTGCAATACAGTCTCAACATTCCCTTTACTGCCACTGAAGATGACTGTGCTAAAACATGAAATTGACGATAGACATACAAAAGAGAAAAGAATAATCACAGTTATTTATACCCTTTTACATTTTCGTTGATACATTTCTATCCTGTGGAAGAACAGATCTAAGATTTCTCTTAACATTGCTTACTTAGTGCAGTACACTTTTTGATACAGCAGTTATTAGAGGAAGAAACAGAAAAAATGCATTTAAGTGTCTTAGTTTTTATAGAAACCCTGGGTTGATTTTACAGAACAACCTGGGAATTTCCACCCAATTTCAGTGGCAGCATATTCCAACTGATGGGAACTCACATAAAGTTTATTGACATATGGTGCCACCTAGCTAGAAGATGTTACACATTATGTACTACAGATTTGAACAGGATGCCATGGACACAGAGCTGTCTCCCAAATAAGCCAAACAGGAAATATCTACCAAACACACCAGAAAGGAATGGTGTTTATCTTGGATTAAATAAATAATGATATATGTTAAATAAACTCACAGAACTAAATCAAGTTTTTCCCATTCTTAGTGTTTAAATAGGACCATAAGATTAGAGGCCTTTACTGGTTAGTTCAAAGCTTTTGTGTGTATATGAACTTATAACCTAGAGACAAGAGCAAGTAAGACATGGCTTAGGGAATTTTTTACCCTTCAAATAAGTAAGGAAAGGACTGGTAAATTTCTTCTTAAGGCTTTTTTTCAAATAAACCAGAATCACTTGGAAAATGCAACAGAGTACCAATGGTATAAGCATAGGCATGTACACCAACAAGGAAGAGGAGCAAGAAATCCTCTTTTAGCTTGAGAAGCAGTAAAAATGCACTGTGACAAACAAGTGACTGAAAGACTTTACTTCAACCACTTACTTTAAAATGTTAGCATTTTTTTACCAGAGGCTGCAAACTCAAGAGCCCAATCTTTCTACAAAATTTAGGAGGATGAGATTTCGCAAAGAAACATGAAAGCTTTTCTTGTAGCATTTAGTGAGCCCAATCACACGTCTCAGTACATTCAGCAAAGAGGCTACAAGTCAATATCTGCCACTTATGAGAAGGCACCAGAGCAAAAACATTTATATTTGCTTCTCGGAAGAAGTTTTGCCCTAAAAGCATTTTTTTCCTGGGGAATGCAGGCAGTAGGCCTAGTGAAGGGATTGTCCAGCACCCATGGAACAGCAGTCGGGAGATTGCTGTGCTTAACTAACATTGCTTAAGGGCCAGATAGGCTGAATAAACAAGCAAACCTTCCTCAGGCATAAAGTGCTCTCTGGGACAGTAATGCTGCAAACAACATCCAGCCTTTTATACAACCAGCGCACGGAGCCCACAAAGGCTCATCTACAGAACTGCACAGAGTTTGAATGCATTCTGCCTGAAATCCAAGGTGAAGGCATCAAATAAGATACTGCACATTATTTCAGTTTCCAGTCGTAAACACTGCAGTTCAAACCAAAACCAAAACAAAACAGCACATTCCTACAGAGGGGTATTTTAACCATTCTCCTGCGGAATTTTATTCAAGAGCTAAGGCAGGTAATTCAACAGCGTTTCAATAAAGATTTCCTCACCAACTGTAACTATAATTTAGAGCCTATTACAGGAATCAATTGATATTTACTGTATGAGAAATCAGACTGACTGGAGATCAAAAGCACATTAGTTTTAAAGACACTTTTCAACTGAAATAGTTTTGGGAAGCTGCAGACAGACACAAGGCTGTGTGTCCAAGCAAAATCTCACCAACACCACTTGTCACAGTGCAGCAGATCATCCACATCACCTCCAAGAACCCAAGGTCATGATGAATCAGAATGCAGGAGCAGCAAAGGAGCCCAAGCACACACTGCCACTGCCACACACATTTCTAACAGCTCCCAGACAGGAAAACCTTGCCATGTGCTTTCTGTAGCACTCCTGCTTGGAACGAAACAATCTTCCAATTTAGACTTGATCAAGACTTTACTATCAGTTATCTGACTGACCTCCTTGATGGTTCCTAACATCTTTTGAAGCAGCACATGAATTCAACCCAAAACTCTTAAGCATTTCAGACTTATGGAAGCAAACTCTTCCCTGGCAAGAAAAACAGATTTGCTATACATCAAAACTGCTTTTCTATTTTTATTAATATTTACAAAATAGTGTAAATTGATAACATTTGTCTGCTTGCACATAGTACAAAACCCCTCAGTTTCAGTATTGATTTATTATAAAATCCAAAATTTTATTTTGGAGTTATTGAAAAGCACACCTTATCCAGTATTTTTTCCATCCTATGAGATATACACATCATATTAAAAAATACAAGTATTATCTTTCCTTTGTGTTTCAAGATACAAGGGATCCCAAAAACATTCATCTTTTTCAAATCCAGGGCAGAAATTTTGTAAATGAGCATTTTGCTGGAACCACCAAGTACTGTCACTCTCAAATTAAGTGCTCTCTACAGAGATTTAAAAAAGATTTTAAAATATGGGGAATGTTTAAAATGTTTAAAAACAATTCCTTCAGATTATCAGCATTAAGAGATGGAAAACACAATAATGATCTCAATTTAGGCAGTTCTTTGCTTCTCCTCGGAGATGCTCAGGTCTTAACCTGAACAGTAGGTAACAGAACAATTATCTACAGAACTGGTTGATAATTGTACTGCAAACATTTAACAACTGCTGCCATGATTCTGGGAAAATTATCACTTTTCAGTGTCTATAAAATACATGATTTTCTAACACATTATTTGCTGGTTTTCAGTCAAAACTCACACACCAGTAGGTAACACTCTCCTTAACAAACAAAATGAAAGTAGTTCTTGGTACATTGCTAATGACATTATGCACTAATTAATTTGGGACTGAGGCTTTTTTGTATGTTTGCTTGTTTAATCCTGTATACATGATAATATTATACAGCAATCCTCATAGAAAAGAGGACAAGAATGCAGTTTCTGTCATGGACAAAAACTTTATAAAAACATAATACAATTAAAATACAAAATAAATATAGTACATGTCAGATTAGTTACTAGTAGCATTTGAGGTTTCTGGAGACTGAAGAAATTCATAGGGATCGTGAACCATGTCTTGCTGTTCTCCAACACTCAGATGAGAGGGGCTTCCTGTTGAACATGGGGAAAAAAATCAAAACCTTAAAAGTACAGAAAGAGATATTTATACATATAAACAGCATGGTTATTTCACATGTTCCTTTTAGACTTTTAAAGTAAGACAGACATCTAAATGATATTTAAACAGGAAATTATAAAAAAAGAAATCACACAATTCTTAGTAATTTAGGTAATTTTTGGAAAAGTAATCATTATGTTATTACTCTGAGTTGAATAATTATACAAAATGCAACTGAGTATAATCCATCCAACGTCTTCTACCTTCTCAGAAATGGCACCAAATTGTTAAGCAGTATGTTATACTATCATCCTGTCTTATCACTAAATTTTACAGTTGACAATGAAATGCTGTTGTAGAATCCCACTTGTTACTTGCTGCACACAACTATGCTGAAGTAAAATAATCATCATATACTCCTTAGTGTAACTAAGGACATCAAATGCAAGTGTTTATATGGATTTGCCAGTGGGTTAGCAATTTACTTCAATCACATCTAATCAAAAAATAAGAAATCACTTTTAGTGGTCGTCAAAAGTATATCTTGTTAGTTATCTCTGCCAGGCATAATTAAAAATGAAAACATGATCAGTCAGCACACTGTTTTATCAGAGTTGTTTCCCACAAAGATTTATGTACATTACAATGTAAGTTTAAACCAATTTGAAATAGAGCACAAGTACTGCAACTTCTGTGACACAGCTAACGTTACCAAGATGGTGTTGGTCTCTTTCAGAGGTATTGGAGAGAGAACTCAAATTGGATGATGGCCGGGATCCCACTCTGTCAGCCTGAGCTTCATGAAGGTCCTGAAGCAGTTTAGTTGTTTCATCCAGATGTAGATGGTTATCATCATGATCAAGCTCCTTCTTCACTTTTCCTAAGAGCCACCAACCAAAATCCAAAATTAGCACATGTACATTGACCCATGAATTACCAAGTCACTATAAAAAAGTTCTACCCTTAATTAACACAAGCATTGTCTATATACAAATTACCTCAATCTTGCATTTCCCCTCACACTTCTAAAAAGCAACAGCTGCAGACCTGTGCAGTACTGGAAGACCAAGGGAAGTGCCACATGGAAATGGCTGAAACTGAACTGACTCTCAGTATTTAAACATCAGTAAGAGCTTAATTTGTCTCCCTTAGCTGTTAAATGCCACACATGGACAGACTGGCCTGGGTTGGAAGGGACCTTAAAGGCCAACCAACCTCCCTGCCATGGGCAGAGATAGCTTTCACCAGACCAGGCTGCTCAAAGCCCCATCCAACCTCACCTTGAGCACTTCTAGGGAAGGGGCATCCACAACTTCCCTTAGCAACCTGTGCCAGTGCCTCACCACCCTCTCAGTAAATAACAAATTTAGTTTGGGGCAAAAGACAGTCAGCAAGAAGATCACTTAAATATCTAACTCAAAATACAGTTAAAACAGAATATGAAACCTATGGAGGCAAAGATATCCCCATCACAGAAGGTTCTAAGAACAGTATCTTCTCCAGCTACACTGATTTTGCACTAAGCCAAATTAAAGTGAAGTTGGAAAGAACTGGATGTATGTGCCAATATATGCTATTCTTTCATATGAAGACCTAAGAAAAATTCCCTCAACTTTACACAGGAAGACAAACTCCTTCCCTTCCTCTTTCTTAAATGTTAAATTTGCAAGAATTATAAGAAGTAATGTCATAAACTCACTCTGGAAGGTAACTAATCTAGCAGTATGATTATTTATAGAAAGGCCAAAGAAGAAAATATAAGCAGCTTTCAGTGGTGCATGAAATACATAGTAAGACTGATATGTCTAAACATTATCTATAAAATGGGTATTTATTCAATGTTTACTGAACTGCAATAAAATTAGTGAGACAGCATAATCAGAGCTTTTAATTGCCTTTCAAACTGCACCTATGTGAGAAATTTGCAGAAATCTTTTTTCCCTTTAAGTCTTCAATTAGTTTGGTTGTTTTCATAATCGATAGAGCTTGGTCTCCTTCACATTCAGAATTTAAAATACCTTAAAACATAAGTAGGTTGTTTGCTTGGATGATATTTTGGAGACATTTGACCAGCTCAGTTGCCTGCAGAAATGGCAGTACTTCTTGTGGTATCTAAAGGATAACTGTCAAAGGTATGTATTTGAAATAGCATCCAAATTATTTTACAGAACTGAAGATAAAGTCTATCGAGCACCAGAAGTTTCTTCTGACTTTTGTTCTGGGATCTTCTGAGTGGCAATATGATCGGGTTTCACATACTTACGTAATTCCCAATTTATTTTAAAAGACATCATATGAAGCAACATAATTTCTGAGCTTCACATTGATTCTTAAAATTTATGTTATTATGAACACAAGAAATACAAGCAAAGCTATCAAAATAGTGAGGTACAAATACTTTGTTTTCTTCAGCTGTACAGGAAAAGTTAGCTTGGATAACACATGGATGTCTCAAATGAAAAACACAGCAAGGTTTCATTTATCAACCCCAGACCTATGTCAAATGTATACTTATTACTACTTTTCAAACACTTTTTTTAGTCTTGGCAAATCCAGCTGTCATTTTGTCTATATGGTACAACTAAACCGTAACTGATGTATTGTATATTTAGCTACCTACCTAACGAACTTAACATAGAAATATCGAGAGATACATCTGAATAGGGCTTCATGGAGAGAAAGTCCAAGTCAGAAGTGTTACTGTCTCCAGCAGATTCTCCAACCTATTAAAATGCAAGAAACAGAAAGATTAGCAAGAGTCACAAGCTGTCATGTTAACTTTACAATGTTTAAGCACAAATCCACTCTCAGAAGTGTTATCTCAACACCTGAGACTGGAGCATCCATAACCATCTTGGCTAACCTGCAATTCAGAGACAGCTCAAAAAGGTTCCTGGACAGACCAGTCACATGAATGGCCAGGGATGTGCACAGTAGTCCGAGTCTTTTATCTCATGATAAGGACTGCTTAAACTCACACACTCACCCATGGCTCATTGTAGAACCCCAGCAGCTGCAAGTACTACCAGTGTCCCTCATCTTCTCCATATGTGAACATCGGATCTATTGAATTTTTTTGTACAGTGGGCCTCCTTCACAGTATTAGCTGGAATGTGTCTCTCTAGTATTTTTCCTACACATTTGGATAATGAAATACAGCCTGCACTCTACAACTCCCTTTCTTTCCGTACCCATTGCAATATGGCTAACGTAATGGCACAAAGGAAGAAATCAGAGTCACTAAGCTTCAAAACCCATTCTAAGGGAAATCTCTGAGGATGCCTGATCCAGCAGGAGAAATGAGACAGGTAAACACACAACCAGGTATTATCTTTTAGAAATATGAAAATGAAACCTAGCACTTATATGAAATAACTTAACCAGTCACCTTCTGGAGAAATCCACACTCTTCCATAAAACATAAGGAATATTTATAAAACTATGATTTTTTTTAGTTGCTATAACGCAATTCATATGATTTTTATGTGAACTGCCACGGAATGCAGTGTATATCTTCTGATGTCACAAATAATTTTCAAGATAAAACCAGTACCAGCTAAAGAAAGATTTGATTACTAGCTGTAAAAGCATAAGACATGCATTATATACCCATACTTTCTAATAGATATTTTCAATGGATGTGGCAAAACTCATTAATATTAATGGAGTTTTTCCAATTTTGCAGCAGGCTGAACCTCAAATATTGACCAGCAGATCAAGTACCTTTTTCGGATTCCTGTGTTATCTTTCTGCCTCTTGGACTTAGTTATGCATGTTGAAATAAGATGAAGAACAATAAAGCCACAAACCAAATCAGACTGAATATGAGAGGATTCATTTTCAGTACTGCAACCTTATTCTAGATAATGTAATTCTAGTATTTTACCTCAGATTGTGCACTGAAACAAAACAATGTCTCAATACTACTTTTTGGTTTGTTTGTTTGTTTGTTTGTTTTTTCCCCCTGTTGTTTCCCTCCCCTACCCCACAACCACTTTACCATAATCTGTTTGGAAGAATCCAGACAGGTATTACGCAACTTGTGTTCCTCTTTTATAAGAACTGGCAGAACCTAAAGAACAAAGAAATACTTTAGATCTTAGCATTTCATAGCTTATATTTACTAAGAATGTTCCTGGAGAACGTTTGTGTAATTTACTGGTTTTCCACAATGAGGTCTTGGGCCATCAAAGAAAGCTGTCACATTCTGTGATGTTTGAGTAGAACATTCACAAAAAAATGAAGACCATCTCCTGTCTAGGACAATCACATACAGTCATGTCAATAATTTGTAACTAAACAGGACAGCCTCTCTAGGAATAACCTAAAGCCTCTCCTTTCTCATATATTCCACTTATCAATCTTTTCTGTATTACCATACAGAACAGAGGCACATTAAATAAAATAATTTGAATGTTGCAAGCTCAGAGAACATAACTTTCTCTACTTTAAATGCCAAAACGCTTTTCCCAGTTAAAGGCTCCAAACAAACAGAGTATTAGCATAACTTACTTTAACTTCATCCAGTGGTTTTACTGGGATGTTTCGCCTCTGGAAAGAAAGAATACCAGTAACTGCTTATATTCAACACATGAGAAAGATAACTTTCTTGTACCATTTCAAGTCTATTCAAACCACACACAAAAAGAAGCAAGAGACAGCTAACTTCACACATCTGTAATGCAATTAGAATGCAACAGTTGCTGTTCTCAAATATTTTAGTATTATGCATTCTAACTATTTCTTCTGCTCACAAACTTTATATTCAAATGCAGTATCTTCATCATTACTTCATTAACTTCTGATCACAAATCATTCAAGGTTGTACTTTCAGAGCTACTAACTCTCACTCAAATGCAGCAGTACAAAATGCTCAAGCATAAAACACCATGTATATGATCACTGAAACACACTTAATTGTGTAAAATCAGCGGATATCCCTGTATGTCACAACTGAACAGCATTTTCAAGTGTAAATAGCCATTGACCCTTTGAGAGGTCTTCAGAAATTCTCACCTGGAACGACATTCATAGAAATATGTGGTAAAAGGTAAAGGCAAATTTTATTTTAAAACTAAGTTGACTATGTTGCATACACACATTTCTATATGTAGAAGAGTATTCAAAATATTGGATCTTAACTTTTTGAACTAATGTAAAAGATTTCCTGTTATACGTACCATCTTTTTCCCATAAGGAAAAAAATCACACAGAAAATTTTAAGGAATCGTCAGTGTTTTCCATTATTTCCAAACACCACCCACCCTATTCCACTTCTAAATGTGCAAAGATGTAGCATACTCTTATTTCCACCATGTCAGGAAGCCTAAGTACTTTCCATCTTCCCACCCTCCTTCCCTTTCTTTATTCTTCAGTCTTTCAGAGTGTCAGTATTTTAAATAGCAGACAATTATTTCAAACTAAGAGTGGCTTCCAAAATGAAGATGACATGAAATTTATCTTAAGAAATTTTGCAATTTTTAGCTTATTTTTGAATGCAATCATTCTCACTAGAATCTTACACATTTCTGAGAAATCTGTCTTCTCCAATCTTAGAATGCATCTCATCAGGAAAGAGCTTTTGTAAATAAGTTAAAAGCTTTTCCTGTAGACACTACATGAACGTAAAAGTTAGCACTGGGGGGTAACAGACACCTGGTACAGTGATAATTAATCTGTTTTTAATTTTACTTCCATGTTCCAAATAATTAATCCTTCCATGAGAAATATATTTTTCTTTTCAGTTAAGAAAAAACCCAAAACCTTAACAAAAGCATTGCAGTGTAACTCAGAAGTCTGTGAGTGACAAGGCTGCCCAAACTCCATCCAGTTGGTTGGTTGGTCCCTGCTATGCTGCATCTCCTGCTTCCTCCTTTCTGCAGTCACATAGTGAACCACGTTGGAGAACTGACCCAGCCAGAGAAAAGGATTCCTCTTTCATTGATTAATTCAGTCTCTAACTTGGTTTATGGTTGCTTGAACAGCTAAGCTTGCACTGCTTAAACTGACAGTGGAAAACAAAGCATCTCACACAGTATTAAAAAGCCAATAGGTCCATTCTTATTCTGATGAATCTGTGCCACTTCAGTGAACCCAGGACACACCTGCTTTAGCTGATAAATAGTTTTGGAATGGTCGCCACTAGTGATCTGGTCCAGAAGATCATCAACTATTTTCTTGCTGTAACTTCCGGCATCCTTCACAAATTCCTGTAAGCTAGCAGGAATGGAGGTAAGCATTACAGAAAATGTTTACTTTTGTAAAAACTACTTCAACTTAAAAAAAAAAGGAAAAAGTGTGGGTGTAATGCAGTGTATTTGGGAAAGCATATTTTAACTCTTTTATGCTTCTTCAGAAATCAATTAAGGCCATCAGGACATAGAGCTTTTTCTTTCAATAGTAAAGGAAGTCTGCAACTTCCTGTCTTCCTTCCCTTCGTTTCTCACAAGTACTAGCAAATTTTGACTTGAACTATCACTGATGGTAGGTTATAGTGGGTTAAAAAAAACCCACAAGGGATAAAAAGCTTGAGATTATTTCTTCCCCTCCAAGATAAACAATTTAATGATATGTAGCATTTTTCTTTTCAAGTAACTTTAACTCTTTTGAAAACCCTTAAAAAACATCATTCTTTTAAAAGCCACTGAAATATATAACTCGTCTTTTAAAATTATTTACTGCTGGGTTTAAAGTAAAACACTACATCTGTGGTAACTATAATATACTGTGGTTGAAGACCCATAAAAACTCTGCAATAAAATATAGTAGCTTAAAAGGACAAATGGAACCCCCCCCCAAAACTTTCTCCACTGCCAAAAAACCAAAAAGAAAACAAACAAAAAACCCAAAAAACCAACCAAGAAGGATGAAAGGTAGCTTCAAATTTTATAGTGATTTATTTTAAAAATAAGTTTTACAAAAACAATCAGGATTTGGAGGCTCTTAGTTGAGATCTAATTTAAATTGCTTTGCAAAAAATTGCTGTGAGAAGTTAGCCCTCCTAATAAGGAAGCTCTTACCTTAAGGCACACTGGATTCCAGTTTCATCACCATATGCTGAGTATAGGAGCTCCATCTCATCTGGTTTCAAATCATGAAATATAGAGTTGTTTTGCAAGGAAGGTGCTGTATTGGCACTGGTAAGAAAGGTTACTACACAGGTAAAAGACACAACAAATGATTAGCACAAGTGTCGAAGATCACACGGGGAAAAAAGAAAAAGATTGTGTTTTCTGAAACAGATACAGAAAGTGACATGTATTTTTTCTCCAACTGAAAGCAAGAGCAGTATCTCAAGGACACTTCCAGACTCTAGAATCGGCACAACTATTTCAACCATATAAACAAACATACTTTACTACTGAAAAATCAAGAACTAAGTTATCCACCCCACTCAGAGAAGAAAAGAGTTCATGGCCACATTCCCTTTTGTATTTCTACATTTTGTGTGCATCTACTTTACTGTTGGTTGCCAGTCAGTTTCTGGACAGCAGGTTAGAAGCTATTAAAAACTGTCAATAATAACAGAAAAAAAAATTCCAGTCTGCAAAAATGCAAATGACTGGAAGTTGTTTTTCAACTGTAAGTGCAATTACTATGGAAAAACTATTTCCCCTGGAGAAAGTGGACAACCGTTATTGGAAATCATCTATTGTGGCTATAACACTAAGGTAAAATATTAATCCATAAACTGCTAATTAAATTACATTTAATAAGCAAAAAATTCTATTTAATAAAAACTGTATTCTGTTGTTAATGGAATTGTTATACATTATAAAAATAACCAAGTAAATTTTCATATAGAAACAGATATAAACTGCAATTATTTTATATCAAGTAATTGCCTGAACATTTAATAAACACAAAGTTAAAACACAGTCTTTAGTGATTTACCTTTATTTCTTCGTTCATCTTTGAAGCCCAGCGTAGTGAAGCCAGGTAATAATTTGCTTGACAGTGAACTCAGATCCACTGGATGAGTTTCTTCCTCTAACAATTTGATTTAAAAGAAGGCTTAGAAAAGCATTTCATGTTTACAATTTGTGACAAATAATTACAATTTGCTATTTTAGAGCTGTAATTAACATAAAGACTAAATGTCTTTTAAACTATACATTAAGGGTAGGTACTGTAATTCAGGTTCTCCACTTAAATTTCAAACACAAGCTATAAATATGCTTCCATGTCATATTCACATGATCTATGGCTTACTTCAGTTATTTCACTTTTAAAGTATACAGCATCATCTGTAATTATTTTAGTAGCTGATTCACAAACTTTCTAGATCTAGATGTAACTGAAGTGATAAAAGCAGTCTCTTATGTTGTGGTTAAGTGGTTGTTTGTTTATAGAAATCCATTACCATCACTCCTTCAATTTGCAGTGGCATAATTTCAGAGGCATTAAATCACCTTTTTTTTTTCCAGAAATAGGTATTAGGCATGGATTGCAGCCAAAATGCTCAATTTCATTCCAGAAAAATTTACTACCAAATGAAAAAGTCTTTAACAGGCTTGTGTCTCTCAATGTGATTAGTCAAAAGCATTAATATATTCATCAGTGAAACAAGAGGAAAGCTGTGAAAAAATTCTAATCTCAAAAGGTGCAGAGAAGGAAGTGCTAAATCAACATGACACTCAGCACCAAAAAAACTGGCATTTCATTCATCACAAATTTTCAATACTTCTGCATCTTGAGTTTGAAATCAAAGCAAAGGAAAAGCATAAAACAATATAAATAACATAATAGTAACAGGAAAATAAAAGAGAGAAAAGATCAAGGAACTAAAGAAAAGAAATTGAGCAAAACCTCATAAATTTAAAACAGAAATTTAGCTAATGATTTAAATTAGGTAATAAAGAGGTAAAAAATTATTCTAAATTTGCATCTGTGCATTGCATATTTACATAGGACTGCAGCACTTTCATTCACCTTTGGTCATTAGATATTAACACTACAGTGTACTTGCAGTAAAAGTTTGTCTTCCAAGTTCTTTATAAAGTTGTAGCAATGCTTAAGTGTTTACAAGGAGATATTATCTTATCTTCTCATTGTTAGCATCAGTAAAACAAAGCATCTGAAGAGTTAAAATATGGAAGGCAAACATCTTTGGGGTGTTTGGGGAAATGGTTTGGGAAATAACAAATGAAAATAATAAATTGTTTTAAAAAATTAAAAAAAATGTAAAAACTCATCTATACTACACAGGATCTGTATCTACAGATAAGACTTCAAAATCTGTTAAAACATTCAAGACTAGATATGTTTGCCTGAAAGAGTAGGGCTTTTACCTTCTGCTTCTGGATCAGACGAATTTACTACACTAAATAATAAAGTTCCATCTCCATTTTTTTTCAGATAACCAATCTGTGAATATAACCAGAAAGATACAGGAGGAATAATTCAGAACTGTTCACACTTAAAGGAGGAGTTGCCCATTTACAGAGAAAACTATAAAAAGCATTTTTAGCTGCATTAAGATACTGCACTTTAGTATCCCTTTTTTCATACAGAGAACCTTGGGTCACAACTATTTAACACCACCTAGCAAGAGTTTCAGAAAAGAAGACTCAGGAGCAGAAGTTCATACATCATCTATATAACACCTTATTCATCTTTCTAAATCAGATCTAAAGTTTTCACCCAAGACAAACCCAATTCTATTATCATTAGCACAGAGCCAGTCTTTCTGACTGCTAAGTCTAGTACACACATTCTTTTTAGAAGCAGAACTGTAACTCCCATTCACAAACAAAGTCACTGTATTTTCAAATGTAGATTGAACTGCTTGTTTTCATGTCTCACTCACAACTTTCTCTAATTAGAAGTACTTTTATGAACACATTACCAAATTCTTCAAGAGGAAGAAGTGCTGTGGCAGACCTATTGAAGCAGACAAGCACAATGCTAAAGACAGGTGAGAAAGATGACAGAGCACACCAGGGTCTGTAAAGCCAGATCTGATGCAACAAGCAAAGCTAATGTAAGAAACTGACTTTACATGAATTGAGAAAAAAATTACCCTAATCTCTCAATATAAAGGGAAAATGAAATCTGTTCTCTCCCTACAAAAAGATTAGTAAATACTTCCAAAGAAATCAACAATACATCTCTCCTATTTTTTTATCCCCCTCAATCTGAAAAAGTTTAAAACTTTCTCTGTACAGGAGCCAAAGCTAATATTGGCATACAATAAAAACAGAGGTGAGAGATGCTGGAAAGAGAATTAACAATATCTTCAAAGTGATGACAAAAGTTAGCAATGAATTGTAAGAACATGCCAGTGTTACCTAAATTCAGTGGGACATGCAGTGAGGCTGTCAAGCTGATTTAACAGCCTTAACAATTAAGAGTTGCACACCTTGAGAAACTTCCATGAACAGTGCAAAACTGCATCAGCATGAAAGACAGGTACTGCTTTGAAGCGATTTTAAAAGCCACTCTTACGTTGTAGGTTTCAAATAGTCTTCAATCCTAGCAAGTCTTCTAATTATCCAAAAAAACAGAAATACATTGAAGCTAAGTCTTCGCCCATTAATCTTTCCAGTTTTTACTTCGTAAGTTGAGTCTAAATTCACTGCATAATCAGGACCACTGCCCCAGAAATGGACATTTAAGTTTGAAGACACAACACTACTTTTGCTTCAGAGTAAAGTTTCTTCTGCAATAGTTTTTAAAGAGGTGGAAAATACAGGATGTGGACACATCCTGATTCTTTTCTCAACTGCAGCGGCAACTAGAGTGACAGATGAGAAATGGGAGCAAAGGTGGGAATAAGTCTCCATAAAATTCAAGGGAAAGAGAGTAAATGTATCTCAGTACAGATCCGTAGCGAATGCCTGGAGCATTCACTCCAACCCTAGCATAAGGAAATGAAGGAATCCACCACCATCATCACAGAGCTAAAAAACCCACAGCTAAAAAAAATGATCCTTCAGAGAAAACTGCACCAACAGCACCACCAAGCTTGTCCTTCTAACCCATGGAAGAGCACAAAACCAAAATACGTGGAACATCAGAATGACATTCAGGACTGTCAAACTTGCTACCTAAACCTCGTCAAAAAAGATCTTTATATTTGGTACTCACGCTACAGCTGAGAGCTACTACGTGTAAATACAAAACTACAAGAGTTTACAAACTCTCCTCATTAAAAACAGTAATTTAACACTAAAAATATGTTAATTCTCAAGGCAGGGAGGAGACGGGGAATCCTAACAGCCCTTCAACCTATGCCATAATTTACTTTTTCTGAGGTTGCAACAATAAGACAGGTGTGATGTTATTTTAATCACTTTCAATGCAAAGAGCATCAATTCAAGATTGAACATTTCACTGTTTCCTGCAAGTGAATTTCCAAAGATTTTCAGCACACAATAGCTCCTGAGATCCACTTAGGACCCCCTACAGTGGCTTTCAGTGGAAACTAAACGATAGAGAACAGTGGTATAGGTATTCCACACAGAACATACATCCCAGATGTTCCAGTCTCAGAAGGCCTAACAGTAAAGCCTGTTTCCTAATGTGAAACAAAGCATTCAGTAGTCAGGCACAAACTGGAACTGCAAACTGCCATGTGCAGTAGACCTTGCTGTTGGGTAGATATCGATTGATCCTATCCCGAGCTTCATCTGCTGCATGCTCCACTAGTGCCAGGACATGTTCTTCAGCAGTGCTGTCTGTCAGGCTGCACGCATTCCCCTCAGGTTCAAAAATGCAGCTAAAAAAGAGAAGAAGAAGAGCTGTAGAAATTAAAAGCTGAAACAAAACAAAGGGCTGAATTCTGGCTTTGCTTAATAGAACAATCAGTCCCACTCTTCTCCCAGTGTTAGTCTACTTCAGCATTTAAGTGGAATTAGAATCATATTATGAAGTTTTTGCAGCAGAAGCTGTGAACTATCAAACTACTTAACTTCAAAAATTTAATTGTTTCTGTACCTTGATGAAAAGGAAGTATAAATGAAGTACAAAACAGAGACTGGGAGTAAAACTGGCATTAATACAAGGTGAATGCTCTATGCATCCTTAGTCTCTCCCATGCATGAATATGCTATTTTCAAAAATACCTAACAGGAAGATGCAGGAAAGAAATTATGTAATGAGGGATAGAAATTGTTGCTTATCAGAGAAAAAACCCAACATGCTGCATTTATGATGATTATGTCATAGCTGCTTGCAGAATAGGACAAAAATCCCAGTCCAATAGGGGGTCCTTTAATTCCTATCCTTTTTAGTATTGGCAATCAGCATTCCTAATCTGTATCAATCACACAACTCCTTGTAATTGAAAATAGTGAATTTAACATCTATCTTTCAGTAGATCCCTTTGCATAAAAGCTCCAAACCAATAAAATCGTACTAAATAAGCATACCCAAGGATGGAACAGGACATAGCTATCACATAAAATCAGAAAAAGGTAGTATCATAAAGAGAAGTGTGAAGATATCATAGAATATGGCAGTCTTCATTATATTTTATATATAAAATAAGTGTTGTACATCAAAGTATTTCAGGTATTATATGGACATTAGACACTAGGGCCAAACACCTTAGGTACTGGGTAGAGCATCTCCTCACACCAAATCCATTTTTCTCTCCTGGGTTATCTTCTTCCATTTGCTTAGCTAAGAATTTCTCTCTGTATAGAGATTCAGATCCGATACACAAGTAAGTTTTGCTATTAAAGACAATAAAAAGATCACAGGATCATACTATTACAAGACAAATGTGTTATACTATTTTGTTCCATTGAAACTTTAAGAAAGGGTATACATACCAGGAAACTCCTCAACAACTGGCACTTTCTATCACATACAACAGAATACTTAAAGGACAAGAACTTTGAGAGAATGTTCAGAAGATTGCAACATCCTAAACAAAATTTTCAAAAACTATTTGAACATTAGGATGCTCATGCAATCAACTCACTTTTTCCTCTATACAGGGTTCTAAGCTGCTTTAACACTTTGCAAACATTGACTTCAACTCCTTCTCTGTTTGTGACCATGATACATGAAGGCAAAAAATGTCTGCTATTAGGCTTGATTTTCCCCTTTAAGGGTCTTATTGTTCATCAAAAAATACAGTATCAGTCCTACAGATGCAAAAAATACAAGTATTTAAAAGTTCAAGTTAATTAGAAAAAAAACAAATTAATTCCAACTACTAAAGTTACATAAATATTGAGAAGAACAGAAAGTAGACCTATACTACAACTGATGGCTGAGAAACTGGTACCAGGATAAAATCAAAGGTCATAATTTTTAACTATCTGAACTGTATATTAAGGTAGATATTAAAGACAGAGCCACACTGTATGGTTTGGCAGTCTCAATTTCTTGCTCCATGACAAAGAACAAAGTTACTCCTGTGGCAGAGTTTATGCAAGAATTAATGCCAGACACCACACAAACCAAATTATTGTGTCTTCTAAAAAAATACAAACAAAAACCAAAGCACCTCCCCCTCAAGACTTGTTTACTAAAAGGTGCTTTCAGTTATTTCTATCCACAATCCATTAAACAAAGGACAAATTACACAGGTTCATTTCTGTATGTTATCATTAGAATAGCTTCCACCACAGATAATTACTGTTTAAAATTATTTTTGAGGATACAGTCTTCTACTTCCAAAAAAATCCCCTAAATTAGACTACTACTTCTTCAGTCAGCATTAAGGACTTCAAAAATTCTGAAAGTGTAAAAAATGAAAAGAGGCTGATGAGAACTCTTCACTTTTAACAAACATGAAACACAGTATATTTCACTTTTTTTTGCTTTTAAGATTTAAAAGGAAACCTGCAGAACATATCTACATGATCTGATTCTTTATGACATGACTAGTGATGCTCTGCTGCAGAATTTTTTCCCCAAAAAGTTCCAGCTGATATAATGCTCTACAATTTAAATTCACAGTCTATCTTTGAATGCCTATGCAAGAACACTGAACAATATAAGTTGCTTGTATATCATGGTTTCTCCTAAAATACCATAAAATAAATTGACTAAATTCAGATTTAAAAAAATCACCTAACATTAGATTTTAGTTATATAAATATGAATTTGTGGCACGCCTCCACCTATTAGCTGGAGGATTACTATTGTACTAGCAATGTATTTTACCAAGGAGCTTAACAAAATTTCACTGGGGAGATGTTATCATCTGTTCCAGAAATAATGTCCTGTACCTTCAATACCTGCCACACAAGATTAAAGTTAAATAAAATCACTCACTGATTTGGGGCCACTTTGCCCTCCTGGAAAGAACCTCTTATATTTTGATGAGACTACTTTAAGAAAGGAAAAAAAGGCACAAAATGCAAATGGTATTTGTAGCTATATCCAAAATAAAGTAACATTTTAAAGCATCATGAGAAGAAACGACTCATTATTTAATACAGATATATAGAAAAATGAAAAAATCTCTACAGACATTAATTTTAAGTGTTTGAAAGAATATGCACTCATTTTTTAATTGCTTGCTTTAAGTTAGGGTTATTAAACTGGGTAATTAAACAAGTTCTATAAATAAACAAATAAAATTGCCCATTTATCCTATGGAACTCAAGAAAAAATGCTGAGTTTTTCCTCAGTTCTCTGCTGCTGTCTAATACTGCAAAAGCTGCAACAAGCCAGTAAGCATGCCCGTTAAAACCTTTACCTAATAACTTCTTTATTTTGCTTTTTGGATTTCTTGGTAGTCTCTGCTTGTACAGGAACAACTTCAGGAACAGGTTCTTCAACTGCTGTGTCTTCATCACCCAAAAGAGCTGCCTGCTGAGAAAAATCCATGTCCTGCATAAACGACATGCTGCGCTTCAAAGCTAACAGCCGTTCCTAGAATCAGAAAGGACAGAGCGGCAGGGACTTAACCTTTCCCTCATAGCCAAGATGCTATGATAATGGGATGGGATGGGATGGGAATGGCCATGGCCTTATTTTGTTCTTATTGTCTCGTTTCCAATGGCGATGCAACATGATTTGGTCATGGTAGCATGGCATCAGAATTTCTGCAGCCCAACTATCAAGAGAGAAACAAACAAACAAACAAACTGCATATGCAAAAACAACTATTTTACACAAAACTTACCATCACTGTAAAACATACACACACACGCACACACACACACACAGAGCAGCTCCCAAAAAATCTTCCTTTGATAAGCCAACAACTGTACTTGAGTAAAAAGTATTTGTGACACCTCTGAAAACTCCTCCACACCCAACATCTTGAAAAAATTAGTGCTTTCTTTTTATGAAGAAATAAAACTTAAATGAGATCTTGTTTTCAAAGTTTCAGCCAGAAGTAGGATTTTACAGTAGAGTTCCATATATGTGGATCTTAACTGCTTCCACTGATAGAAGCTCTTACAGACTTCAGTGGTGCAGGTAAAGTTGAGAAATAAGTAAAAATTCCTGGGTTATAACACGAATGGCATTGAGCCCTTAAATAAAGCAGCACTAACTGGCACTGCTATAAATCATCAAAGATGGATGAAACAACATTTACCATTGTTACTTTGTTCCTTTTAAGTATGGCAACATAAAAACCCCCAAGGTTTCTGCTTTTTGTTTTTAATAGGTCTCTTACTTTGCTCATCATCTTAAAGCCTGTGTGCAGTATCTTCTTGGCTAGCTTGTAGTAAACAGTATCTGGTCTGTTGTAAGTCATTGCATTATCACACATCAGTTTAAAATCTGCCTGTAAAATACAAAACGAAAGAACTGTAAACATTTCAAGTCTCTTGTTAAATGACTGAAAGATACCGATCCATCTTGGCATCTCTTTGAAGAACTGAAGAACTTCTTTGAAGAAGTAATATTCTAGCAGCAGGCTCAAGACTGCAAGCCAGAAGGAGAATTGCAAAGGTCCAAGCCTCTTCTACCTCTCCAAGATACTCAGTTTCCTTTGGAACTGGCTTTTGGTTATAAAAAACACACTCCTCTGAATGGCAAATGTAACATCATCTCCTTAACCAAATACTGGACCGAGCCACCAAGGTAACTTTTTACAGCCTTTAAGCCCTCTGCCTCCAATTACCAGGACCATCACAAAGACAGAAATTCAGAAGATGACATGGAGGAGCAAACTATGTGCCAAGAAGCAGACAAAGAAGTGCATGTAAGGTACACTTCCTGTGATGGCCTTTCAAGTGCTGCAGAAAAAGCCTGCCCAACTTTGAAGTAGATTCTTCTTTTTCTGAAGCAAAACAAATGAGTTTTCTGCAGCACTTGCCCCTCTTCTAAATGCAGGAGAGTGTTCTTGCAGACTCTACTCTTAGACAGATTTTTTTACTGTCTTGTGACTAGCCTCAGCTCTTATATCAGACAGGTAACCTTTTGAGTAGACCTTGTTTCAGAGGCTAAAAACCTGCAAACTTCATTTCTGCATTAAGCTTATGGCTTTTTAGTTCTGTGTAATTAGGTACCCTCAAGTATCTAGAAAGGGAGTCCAATTCCTTTTCCACTCTAACATGGGCAGACTTTTAGCAGATTTTAATTACTCTTCTGACTACTAGCAGAAGCTAAGTCCTTGAGAAAAAAAGAATCTGTCAGTCTAAAAAATACTGCCATTTTCATTTTTCTAGGTTTCTATCCCACCAGTTTCAATGCTGCAACTTTGCCTGTAACTTAACAGTCACAGAGCTCCCACCTAAACTTCCCTTTTAAGCTGTTGAATAAGACAATCTAGCAAGACAAAAATTAGAGACCTGAAGGCATTGCTGATGGCAATGCTATCATGAATTCCTTTTCACTATTTCCCATAAAGATCTATAGCAAAATAACCTTTGTTAAAGCATCTGTAAGAAATGTAAACCATCCTTTGCTCACCTTGCTGTACCTTTCAAAAAAAGAGATTAACCCTGAGAAAAAAGCCAATGTGCTCTTGCCAAGGTTACCATCATATCAACATCAGCCTAGGAAAATGCAATTCCAAAGGCTGCTAATAATTCATGACCTTCATGAAAGAGTTAAGGAAAACTCCTCTCCTTCAGGAGCTAGCAATACCATGAAAACATTTCTTACTGCACTGTTTGCAAAACCATAATGCATCTAATAAATTATTACAGCAATAACAATACACTTAATAACTAAGTTAAGCTGCAAATAAACTTGCCAAGTTTCTGTCAGAAAAAAATTTCAAATGAAGTTATATGAAAAACAGGATAATTAAAGATAAAAAATATGTAGTTGTGATTGATTCATATACAAGATGCTTCAGTATATCCACAGGTTTCTTGCAGACAGGTCCAAATTACATTTAAATCAATCTAACAAGGTCTAGATATAAAAAAGAAGCTATTGAGCTCCTTTTTTGTCCTTTTAAAGTCTTTGTGATAGTCTTACTACTATTGAAGTTTAGCAGCAAAAATTCCACAGAACTTCAGATGTTCTTGGTTTCCATAGTAATTTATAGAAGACTGTAGTAGAATCTGACAGATTATTTGTAACACACTGAATATACAAAAGTGCTCAGTTCTGAAAAAAACGAGCACTAATTAATGTAAGAAAGGCATCTACAGTTAAAAAGAATCTTCAGTTTCTGACTAGTTTTGAAATATCTAAATCTTTATTAATTCACCTTGAATTCAGTGACTGATTTGTATTCATTTGCTGCAATTTTTTCCTTCATCGTACCAAAATCCATAGGGTGTTTTATTATCATGGAATATCCAGGAGCAATGGCATCCGTGACTGGAAAAGCAAAAAACCCATGAGGATCTTTCCTAAAAATGAAAACAATACATTTAGATTTACAGCAGCAAACAAAATGATCCTTACTTTTTTATCACATTAATGACACAACAGTACTACTTAAAAAAACAAAAAACACTAAAAACGTTCTCATAAAACAGATGCAGGTTTGAAAAATTTCCTGATAAAGGAGAGAATTTTGATTTCACATATGTAGACTTCTTTTCAAAAAGAAATTCTTGAAAATTTTAAAATGTCTGTCAATTCAATTCAACGATCAAATGATCAATTCAAACTAGTTCTTGTATTTCTTAATTAATTCTTGTATGTTTTCTATGTCTCTACACTCCAACTCTTGGTCTTTTGGTTTCATTGAAGAAAAAAGCTCAAGTCTTCTTGTTCATAAGGTCCTCCAAAAATAAATGCAATGCTTAATTTTTTAAAGTTAGTTCCAAATTCAGCTTAATGCTACGAAATAAAATATGACTGGTTTTTTTAAACATGGGTGCACGTTTAAGAAAACAATAAAATAAAAAGCTTCTCCAAATTCAGATTATCAAGTAACCAGATCTAAATTTGCTTTATAATTGATAGTGGACACTGAAGAATACAAAATTTAACTAAAACAGCTCGGTCTTTTGAAGTATTGTAGAGTTATAACTGGCTTTTAATCTTTAAACTACATCATTAATATTTAATAAATTTATAATAGCAATTGTATCCTCTGCCCAAAACACTTATTTCCCCACGCAATGCTAGAATTGCAAAGTTGGTAATAATTTTCCTCAACTTATCTTTAAAAACTACCATATCTGACATGGTTGCAAAGGTTAACAAATATATCAGTCAGTCTCTAGGCACTACTTTTAAACAGAAAACCAAGATAAGAAGTTGCCAAGTAACACATATAAATATGCATCAGACACGGCCAACACAGCTGAAGACACAACAACATTTACTACCTCTGAAGCTGTCGAAGGAAGTGTTCCAGTAATTGCTGGATCGGTGTGCTCTCATTTTCAGCTGCATTTTGAGATGAAAACACAGATAAGTGCAATGATATAGCATATGTGTATACTTGTTTATTTAAAAATATAAATACCAGAGAGAAAATCTTACTACAATTACAGCTTGTACTGATCTGAAGCTGAATGTGACAGGGATTTCAAAGCAGAACACATTAGATTTTTAAGCACACAGTACCTATTTCTTCTCTTATTTTCTGAGCTTCTTTTTTCATCACATTAAAACCTACTAGCCATTAAGTCAGATGTAGCGCTAAGTATAGTAGCTCTAAGATTATGTATTAATAAGATAAAAGTAATTACACTATGTATTTTTGCAAAAAAAGTGAAAATTGGTTGCTCAAATACTGCAGTTGGGAAATCCATATTCTTACAACTTGCATGTTCACCATGCAATTTTAATGGTTTCTTCACTATAAATCCCATGCAATTCTCTAAACCTTTCAATCACAGAGTGACAAACAGGTGCAGATTTGCTGGCAATAGAGGTAACAATTACAATTTCACTTCCTGTACAGATCACATAAGAAACGCTACCTGTTAATTACCTGCTACTTCAGAGAGACTGGCTTTAGTGAGGTTTGAAACATTAAAGAAGCATCAAGAATTAAAAATTCAAGTCTCCATCATGATAGAGAAAGACATTTCCTTTCTTAGCCAGAATAGGTCGGGTGTAATTGATATGTTTTCCAATACCATTTCACAACCAGATGAAAAGAGAATAATAATGGGAATAGTTGTTATCTTGTCAGTTTTTAAGGCTCCCGACTACCCAGAGGCATAGAACTCTGACCTGAAAATTTCAGTTACCTTGATAGCTGATAGCCACCATTCCTCAATTTAAAGTGTGGTCAAAATTATAAAATTCCTTGGGATTACTTGACCAGTCAAAGAGTAGTATTTCAAAGACAAGACTCACAATATTCCTAAAGACACAATCTTTTGCTACGAGGTTCCACTTTCATGTGTAACTAATGTGGCTAATGTGTAACTGAGATCATGATGTAATTGAAAATTCTCTAAAGCAAAGGTTTCCACTGAGTAACGCTGAGTTTTAATTATCAAGCAATGGCTACAGTTAGAAAAAACAAAATCTGAAAGGATTAAACATGCGGAAGTCGCCACACACAAATGACAAATATTTTGGCTGGTGATAAGAATTAAAGAAGATCTGTAAACGAAAAACAGGGGTCGTGTGTGGTGTCTACAGTTTTTAGAGACACACTATCACAACCTCCTTTCCACGAGAATAGAGATACTAAAACTCCACATAGGTTAGAAAACAAAAAAAGACCATAACAACACCTAAGAAGTCTCCACAAGAGTTTTTTCCCTTGAACGAAGTAAAACTTAGTTTCAGATATTCTGATCACTGTTGTGTAATGCTAAGGAGAAGGAATTACAGAGCACTATGTGCAAATAATACTTTTATAATGAGGTTTATTCTGCCAAGCTGCAGAAGCCAGAGACAGATGTCCTTGGCAATGTCAGTCACCTGAAAACAAACCTACAAAAACATGGAAGCACCAAGAGGAATATTGACTTTTCAGATAGCAGAAAGTTCTGAATGTTGGAAAAAATAAAGTCCCTACATTTCAGTAAATCTTCATGAAAATTTTACCTTTCGGTACCTTTGACAAAAGCTCTGTTTTGTGTACTTTTAAAAAGAATCAAAATAATTTTATCTTTCACACTGGTTACCTGGCTGAGTTCTGCATGCTCTGACAGGACGATCTGGAGGAGGTTCAACCTCCACCTTTTTCCCAGGATCAAAGTCATCAGTTTCTCCTTCAGTGTCACACTGCTCCTTCTCCCTTTTCCTCTTCTTCTCTTCCTAGGACAGCAGAGAGAAGACATATTTCAGAGGCATGTACTTGGAATATGGAATCCCACACATCAAAAGATAAGTAACAATGATGTTTTTAATTTGGAATACTCATTCAATATCCAAGCCATAATATGGTTCAAACAATACTGCATACATTTTCACTATCACTTTTTCAACTTTATTCTCCAATTAAAACTGAACTGTTCATCTTTTGCTACTTTGTATTTAATACAGTATTGTTCTATCATTCCTGCATGTTTACTGAAAAGACAAATTCTGAAGCTATTTATATGTAAAACTGCACAATAATAAGCTACACCAGAGAGCAAAGGAAGTTAATTTACTATTGAGTAAAGATCAGTCTGTGGCTCCACTCTCATCAATGTATTTTGCTGTTTGTCACATTAAACAGAAATGAGTAAAATATGTGACAACTCAGCCAACAAAAGAACCATAAGAAGCAGTGGTGGTAATTAATGATCTCCTCCTGAGTTTTAAAGCAAAGGCATCCTAAGTCATTCCTGAAATCCCACAACCATTACCCACATTTGCACAGAAAAGCACACTTTCTTTAACCTTCCTTAGACTACGGTTTTGCTGCTTAGCCATTCATTAGCTTATTTTGAATGTATTAATAATGAAGTTCTGAGAAAAAAAATCCAAACAACCCCCACCCCACAACTCAGTAAAGGCAATCGATACTGCAAAATCTTGTATGAAGGACAGCTGGTTTTGCTACATTTCAAGTCCCAGCCTGAAACATCTGTACTAAGAAGATTGTGTACTATCTGTGCTGTATTGAAGAGCTTCTGAATGAATCCATGAGATCTGTCACTTCCAGTTGATTTTTTTTGTTAGGCTTGTATTACTTGGAACTGACAGATGTTAGCCACGAACACACACGAAGTAGCACTGAAAAAACTGTCACACAAGAATAGTAAAACTACATGACAGGAAAGAATTTAAAAAGCAGAAAGGTCCAAGAACCATTACTACACAAAATAAATAGCATTAAAATTAAATTGTACAAGTAACTGTGCTGTCAATGCCCTACTGCTGATTTTAATCAAACTCCCCAATGTTCAACATAGATAACTAAGGTGACCACATTATTTGGTACTAAGAAAGCCACAAAGCCTAGCACACAGATTATTCCAAGAGCCAACCATGTAATGTACCACAGAAGTCAGCAGTTCAGAAGCTGTTTTGAGTAAACATATAAATTTCAATGTCCAGTAACTTGGTACACCTTAAAAAGATAAACACAGCCTGGATTTATTTGAAAAGATGAAAATACTCTCCCCTCAAACAGTGAGAGAACATGTTTGTGGCCTGGCTAAAATACAAAACATCCAACTGAAAAACAGAAGCATTCATTTAAGGTAAATAAATAAGGAAAATAAAAAGTTATATGAAGGAAGCTTTTACTTTGTTCATAGAATCATCACAAAAGGTATCTCCTTTAAATGGCAGAAGTACCAACTCACATACAATGGTTTTCTACGTTTCTGAAGTGCCATCTCCACACAATAAGCTTCTTGCAACAGTGATTTAAACAAAGTTCTGCACCAGATTTTAGATCTGATAGGCAAGCATGAAGGCTGGTGTGTCTGAATTCTAAAAATCACAGCTTACCTTTCTCTTTCTTCTTTCCTCATCATCTAGATGCTTTTCTTTTTCCTTCTCTGACTTTTTCTTCTTTTTCTTCTTCTTTTCTTTATGTCGTTCTCGCTCATGATCTGATCTATCATCATAGTAACTAGAATCATGCCCTGACCCAGAGAGTTCGGTGACTTCACTGCCTCCAACTTTAAGAACCAGCTTTAAGGGTTTTTCCAAAGGCTTGTCCCCATAATCTAAATTTAAAAAGTAAAAAATAGAAATTAATAAATGCACAAGGACCTAATAGCACACAGCAATTACAGAATCAGTCTCAATTAGGTCAGAAAAGACTGCTGAGATCGAGTCCAATCTATGACCAAACACTACTATGTCAACTAGACCATGGCATTAAGTGCCACATTCAGTCTTTTCCTAAACACCTCTAGGGACAGTAACTCCACCACCTCACTGGGCAGCCGATTCTAATACATAATCATCCTTTTTGTAAAGAAATTCCTTCCCAATGTCCCCTCGTCCTGTCAGTGGTTGCCTGTCAGAAGAGACTGACCCCACGGGCCTACAGCCTCCTTTCATGCAGCTGCAGAGTGAGAAGGTCTCCCCCGACCCTTCTTTTCTGCAGGCTAAACAACCCCAGCTCCAAAGCGTCTTCTAGAACTATTGTTTATAAGAATTCGCTGCAAATCAGCGAATCATCAAATATACACGATACATCTGGAAAGGAAAGCGACAGCTAAGACTAACAAATCCTAGCGAACAAACAGCCGTTCCGCACGTTGTGATGTTCCACAAACCTCCAAGACATAAGAAACCGGCTCTTCGGCCTCCCCTGAAATCGTCGCAAGCTCCTTGCAGAGCACGGTGAAATGACTCAAGCATCGCTCAAGCACCGCAGCGGCCGGAGCCCCTCAGGGGCAGCCGCGGGAAGCACGGAGATGCTGGGGCTCGCACCCCACGGCCCGCCCCGCGTTCCTCGGGCCGCCCCCACCGCCGGCAGCTCCTGCAATCGCAGCGGGGTCTCTGCCCAGGCACCCCAGCCCCGCCGGAGCGTCGAGGGAAGGGGCGGCTGTGTCCCGGCTACAAAGAGGCTCCCCCTGGCTCCTTACCGTAGGCCGTGGCGGAGGTCGAGCGCCATTCCGCCTTCTCGGCTTTGTGCTTCTTGTGCTTCTTCCCCATGGCGGAGCGGCGGCCGGCCCGCCGGAAGCGCTGGGGCGGGCGGACCCTCCCTCCCGCCTGCCGCGGAGGAAGATCCGGGTGAGGGGCCGCCCCTGCCTCGCCCAGCGCGCCCTTTACAAACAGTGGCTGCCGCAGCGGGTGCCCGGTGCCCGCGGTTCTCGCAATTCCCGTCGCTCCGGCGCGTCGCTCCCGAGGCCGAGCCTGCCTGAGGTGATTCCCTGTTCCCGGCGCTGAGGCGGGAGCGGCGCGCCCGCCCGCCCGTCCGTGCGCGCGACTGCACTCGCGGCGTGTCCCGAGGCTGTGGTCGCCATCTCCTGAGGGAGGCAAGTGCCGGTCCCCGTCCTGCTCCCGCTCATGTACCCGGTCTTTGTGGTGGGCGGTGTGCACCTGAACGGGGCGCCGGGAAAAGGCCGACCGTGCCGTAGCAGTCGCTGGAAGTCGTTTCTCTTTGGTATCGTTTTTCCCCTAGGAGCGAAAAAGATGGATGACGCTGCTGGAGAGTTGAAGCAAGCGCTCCCAAATGTGTGTGACAGCCTTCAGATCCATGTGGAAGTTCACCAGAAGTCGAGCAGGTCTCTGATCGGAGCGTTGCTTGCTGCCTGGTTCCTCTCGGCCTCGTTCTACTCACCTCCAAGAGCCCGCAGGACCCAGCTCTGCCTTCTCTGCTCTCCCGACAGGAGTTTCCTCTCCCTAAGATTGAACAAATACACTTGTCTCGGTTTCACCTTGTGGGTCATGTCATCCAGTCTCATAAGTTGTTGGCCATGTTCTGGGTTTGCCCCAGTTTATCCTTGTCCCTTTTCTGTCGGTGGTCACAACTGCTCAAAGTACTCCAATGTGGTCTTATGAAGCCAGGAGATGGAAACAGTTGCTTTCCCTAACACCTACAGTCTTGGTAGCACAGCCTCAAATAAGATTGTCCTCATTTGTAGCAGGGGCACACTGCTAACTTATTGTCCACCAGTACCTGCGTGCCCTTTTCTGCAAAACTGCATGTCATCCAGCTGGCCTCTGATCTGTTCTGTTATCTGGGCAGTGGCTGGAGAGCTAAGATTTCATGTTTACCTTTACAGAATGTCAAAATCTTCCAGTCAAACCATATTGCCAACCTGCAGAGGTCCCTCTGAACAGCAGCCCCGCCCTCCAGATTACTGACTGTTCTCCCTGCTTTGGTGTTATCCATAAACTTGATGCCGTTACTTTCCATCCCATTGTCAAGGATGCAAAAACACTGCTGGTCCCAATGCTAACACATTGCTAACACAGTGCCCTTTCCCACTCAAGTTACTGACAGCTCCACTTAGTCTTTATAATAACCACAAGCCCTCCTTGTCTATTTATCCAGTTCTTAATCTTACCACTTTGGATATCTGAAGGATATGGGAGAGCATATCTGAGGTGTTAGAAAATGCAAGGTGTAAAATATTCACTATGCTATTTTTGCCAGGCTTAACAGAGAACTGAGAATTTGCACTGGTTATAGATGATTGAAATTGCAAAATTAAGTTAAATCTTCAAATTATATTCCTTTTCCTGTGGTTTTTGTCTCTTCTGGAATTCTCCTTATATTATGTCCCCATAATAATCCTGATGTTTCAGCTGTCTTGAAAGTATAATAGAGCTTCCAAGCTAAGCTTACCAAATTCAGCCAGTAGCTTGGCTCTTAGTCTTTCCAGGTTTCCAACTGAAACACAGATTAGATAACTGCTTTCCATTCTGGAAGTCTTCTAACTGTCTCATTCAGCATCCCCTGATATGACCTCAAACAGAGCAAATAATGTCTTTTAATGCACAAATTAAAAACAGCTGTCAAGCTTGTTGCTTTTGCAGACAGACTGAATCTGACAGGTTCTTTTTTCCTGTAGAATGTTGGAGGAGGGTTGAGTGGCTTTGGGGTTTTTTTTGTGTTGGTTGTATTTTTAGGATTGGAGGTTCTGTTGGTTGGTTGGGTTTTTTGATGTGTGTAAGATGGAAGCTGTTTTCCATGAAGGCCTCATGTATGAAATAATGCATTCTAACACTAATTCAGATTTCCTTATAAATGTCAATGCTCTAAAGTGATGGTGTTTCTTTCTTGTTAGTGTGGCCAAGAAAGAAGATATTAGGATGAGTGTCTTAAAGCTGTTGAACAGACACAACATCGTGTTTGGTGATTACAAGTGGACGGAGTTTGACGACCCTTTCCTTAACAACAACGTGCAGTCTGTGTCAATTGTGGATACGGAGCTGAAACTGAAGGACAGACAGGTATTCCTGGTCAAGAATGTGCAGCTCTCTTTGTGTGCCCCTGAACTAGTTGTAGGTAGACTGGTGGTACCCTAAGGGCATAAGCAGGACAAGGCTATAGAATGAGGTAGTATCTCTTCTTAGGCTGACTAGTATAACTAGGGAAAAGTGGCTAAATTTTTTTTTACCACTTAGTAAGGTCTGAAACAGAGGTAGTAGGCTTCAGAGATAAATGCTGGCTGAGAACTGTAACTTGATTTTGTTCAGCTAGCTTTGAATGAGAAATATGACACATTAAAAAATCTTTTTATGTTCATTCTAGCCTATTGACCTGAGCATGAGCAGTCTTTCTCTTCATATTTTTCATCTGAATGAAGAAGGACCAACCTCTGAAAATCTGGAAGAAGAAAATGAGGATATCACTGCAGCTCACCACTGGGTGCTACCAGCAGGTACCTGTATGACATTTCTGGAAGCTCTAGAGCAATAAAGAAAATATTGTAAAGGCTAAAAGTGTTTATAGTTACCTGTTAAAGGTATTATTTGTATTTACTGTATGTCAATAGAAAAAATACGTTTGGACTTTTTTCTTAATGACAAATATGTTTGCACTTTTTCCTGTGTGGTTTTGACTGAACTGCTCCAGGTGATTCCAAAGCACATAATTTATTTCTGTAATACTTGTGGATGTATGGAAATAACTGGTCTTGTGGTCTAAAACTTATAATCATAATCAAAAGTATGCAAGTTTTTAATACTGGTGGTTGCATTCCAAGTTTTATTTAACTTGAAGACCCGCAAGAAACTCATCACTTTAAATATTTACATTTTCCAGAGCCCACTGCCGGCTTCCAGCCCCCAAGACAGTACTGCTCTTATACATGAAACAGACAAACAAAGTAAAGAGATTTAGTCTTTGTCTTCTGGAGAGGAAACATAAGGCCTTCCTCTGTGATAGAGCCAGACCTGCCTGTTACTGTCTTGTGCTTGGGAAAGCTGGATTCTCTGCCTGGAGGGAGAAGTGCAGGTGTGAGCTTTAGCTCAGAGAGACAGTAATTTTGAAACATTTCCTACTCTTTCCTTGTTGTGAGCTGCCTAACTATCCATTATATTTGTTTACAGGAAGAATTAAATCTGATACATTGATGATATTGCCACAACTTTGTGGTTTGTAGTCGTTTTTTTGCTTTTCTCTGCTGAAAGTTTGAAGCCAACAGCTAAGAATGATTAATACTCTAATGACAACCTTAGTTTTTTATGCATTATTCAGCTACATGGTTTTTTTTTGATCCTCTACATCTTGATTTAAAAAAAAAAAGCAAACTTGAATGATAAAATTTGCCTAAGAAACCTCCTCCTACCACAAGTTTTCATTGCTCCCTTAGTGAAATGTAAGTTCGTCCTCTACTGAGGATGGAAGGAAGGATATTTTTCATTTGATGTTAAGAAATGAGCATTAACTTCTTGTCACAATTATTGGAGGAAATAGAAGCTGGGAAACTGGTGAATTCTTCTGTTAGGAAGTGGTGTTTGCATTTTGAGAAAAATAACTTTTTTTCCCCCCCACAGATGCTTGTTTCATATATCTGTTCTTAATTCTTCATTTTAGTTGAGCATAATTTGAAAATTGTTTTGCACTGCAATGATGAGTTACAAGTTTCCAGACTGATTTATCCTAAACAGGTATAAATATTGCTTTTGCAGCTGAATTCCATGGCCTTTGGGAAAGTCTTATCTATGACACAGAAGTAAAATCAAATGTAAGTTGGAAATTAATAACAATTAAGATTGCTTGAGGAGAAGTAAGAGCTGAAATTAAGCCTGTTTGAAGTCTGCTGCATTCCATGGAGATATGAATGTAGGCTGGGCAGAAGGGAATGGGAGTTTTTGTTTCTGGCAGCAGCTAAAAAGTTAATGGGCTTGGCAGTAATGTCCACCAGCACTGTTACTGTTCATGAAAATATTCAATGATTTGACCAGTGCCCTGCCACCTGAATGCTGGCAAGAGATTGGAAAGAAATGAAACACTTCCAGGGGTTAATTTTCTAGCTTGAAGATCCTGTGCATTCATCAGAAGTTGTGATGATAACTGCCAGAGCTTGTAGAACAGTAACACTGTAATCTGAAATTTAGTAATTGTGGTGCCTATAACACCCACAAATAGTTCAATTCAGCTTCTAACTGGAGTTTTTGGACATAAAAAATTAATTCAGTAGCTTATTTGTAATACTATAGATACAGTATTCTCACTCAAGTCTTTAAAACCAAGTATAGAAAAGAAAAATATTCCAGTGATTGTACTTTTTAATTTATAGGGTAAATATTAATTAATACATCCACATTCCTCTAGTTTATGGAGCAGCTTTCAAAGTCATCTGTGAAATGACAGGACTATTTAATTAGACTTGCTGGTATTCTAAATAACAGCAAGCTGATCACTGTTGAGTGTAAGTGTATATGGGTAGGAAGAAATGGTTGCTTTTAATGGCTAAAACTAAAACTACTGCTGTAAAATTGTGATAAATCTTTATTCTTTAAACCTTGGAAATGCCTGAGCATGGTTGGGTTCTACAGGCTCTGAAATGTTTGCTGTGAATTTTCAAATTAGCACCGTGTCGATAGAATTTTGAAAAAGACATGGATTAAGTTATGTTGTTTTTGCTGTTGAGTGATTACTCCATTTTGAGCTTGAGATACTGCAGGAGCACCATTATATTGTCCCATCAGCACCTAGGCATGAAAAACTTATTCCAGGTAAGAGCAACAGAAGATAATGTGGTATCAGGTG